CCCCAAAACCCCAAAACCCCAAAACCCCAAAACCCCAAATACATATTTAGAGACTGGAATATGTTTTAGATTATTTATTAAAGATGAACAACACCGAGTATGAATACAATAGATCTTGTATTGTCCTGAATCCATCCCAGAGAAAAGGACAGCCTAAGCAAAACTTTAGGAGGGACTTTATTAAGATTGTCAGGAAGAGTCAGTTCTTGAAGTATAATAAATTCTTTGAAAATGAGATTAATTCTACTGTCCTGAATAATAACCGCGAAATTTATGAAAACTGTGCTGAGTTTATCAAGCAGCATTGAATTAGAAGCTTCTCAAAAGATGTGCCTACCAATATAGTGATCACTAATTGAGAGAGCAGTGCTAACAATGACACTCAGTTCAGTTCTCTATTCGATGAATTGAAGAGAAAGCATATCTTGAGCTTTGTTATTGACGAAAAGAAGTGCGGGACTACAAAATAACATGATCAGTTATATCCAGAAAGGAGTTGCAGATTTATTCGGCCATGAGATTAACATAGCAGCAGAAGATTCAGAAGAGATCATGCCTGTCATCTCTTCTGATGGTAGTTCAATTGATGAAAATGAGAATGAGGAAGAAGAGGATAAGGATGGAGTTGAACTTCATTATATTAGTCCAAGAATTCGGAGGACAATTCAAGAGTATGAACCTAAAGCTGAAGTCAATGAAAAGACAGCAAAAGAGTATGAAATTGGAAGAACTACCATATCAGATTACAGCAAGAAAAGAGAGAGACTGATAGATGATTACAATGGTGATATAGATGCAGATGGAAACACGTTGGCTGTTGATAAAATTGGATTTTCTGGTGTTAAAAAGATCATTAAAAATGCAGAATGCACCCTCCCAATAGTGATTGTAATCCAGAATATAAAGACATTTCCTACTGAAAATTTAAATGACCTTATCTATCTGATCAAGAAATATCGGGCTAAACATAATCTGAAATTATGCTTGATGATAGGTGTGAAGAGCAATAGTTTTGAAGACTTGATGTCAAAAATTAGTATAACTACATCGAACCTGTTGATTGTGAAGAAATACTATTTTCCATCAATCAAGAGAATTCTCTTGGAGGTTATATATCGCCTGCTGAAATCTCGTCGGAACTGTTACATCTTCGGAACGAAGTTTTTAAACTCAATTGTTGAAAATATCCAGGTCTATGGGCTGAGTCTTGAAAAATTTAAGAGAATAATGCACTTTTTGATCGCTCATCATTTTAGAACAAATAAGTACTTCTTTATCAACGGAATGATAGATGATAGCAAAGAAATTATGAAATTAGACCAAATGAAGAGTGCTCAGCAGGATAAAGAATGTTTAGATTCAATTATCAAACAATTTGAAGCCCAGAATGAGAATATAAGAGAGATCAAAAATTGAATTACCAACATAAACAAATGCACTGTTGATACTATTGATACTGAACCAGAAGTTTTGAAGTACGTTTTGGTTGATTTTTATCACAAGAAGTTGAAATATTTTAAAGCCTATGATCTTCTCGAGGATTTATGACTCAATTTCTTACCCCAAATGAGTGAAGAAGACAAAAATATATTTAAAAACTGTTTTCTTCTCAATCTGTTTTCGTGTAAAACAAAAGAGCAAAGAATTGGATGTGTTTTGGAAGAATTAAATGTAGCAGACTGGGAAGAAGTAGTAAATTGGCTGGAAACCAACATTAGCACTAAGAAGTCTGAATTCCTTATCGAATCGGCTAATTTTCTCCAAGAGAAGATCAGAGAGGTTAAGACATTTGGTTTGCATATTACAGGTAAATCTAAATCCAATCACAGGAGGAAGGGAATGCTCAGTAAAAATAACAGAGAAAATGGTGATCAACCAGTTGAGGAGAGCAAACTAGATTCTGAGGATTATAAAAATATATTTAAGAAATGGCTTAGGCATTTTGTCCATGAATATGTCAGTTTGAATCTCGATGAAATTCAAAAAGAAGCTTTTATTCTTGAAAACTCTCAAATTACAGAAAGAATTTGCCCAGATATCCAAGGAAATATGGCTAAGTCTATAATGCAGTCTTCAAAGTGCATTTTCTCTAACTTTATGGCAAATTTTAAGATAAAATCAAAGGAAAAGTTAGTGAGGAGCAAAGAAGAGTACCTCCATCATTTTGAGAAAGACACCACCAAACTAATGGAGGGGTACAGAATGTTTGGAAAAGATATTGACATCAATGAATGGTTCATGTTGTTTTGAGATAAAGTTAGAGATGAAGAAGGTACCTATTTTATTAATTGGCTTTAGACATACCAAAAACCAAAGATTCCAAAAGAGTCCTATCCGAAAGATTTTTAAAAGCCCTTGGAGACCTTAAGTTTATGGGCTTTATTAGTGAAAGTGGAAGAGGCACTTATATCTTTAAGAGGAACTACTTTGGAAAGAATTATTTGAAATTATAAGACAACTATTTATGCACTAAAGGTTGAAAATTATTCAATATTTAAGGCCTGCGATGGGGTTTTGGGGTTTTGGGGTTTTGGGGTTTTGGGGTTTTGGGGTTTTGGGG